ACGACGGCGCCGACGTAAAGTCGTCGGGAAGGAGGGGGGCGGTGCGCTGGGGTGCTGGGGAGCGACACATAGCGACACATGTCGACACATATCGACATATAGAGACATGCATCGACACACGCACACACATATCGACGCATAGCGACACACAGCGACGCACACATGGAGACGCATAGCGACACACAGCGACACAGACACATAGAGCGACACATATAGCGGCACATGAAGGGCACAAGGCACACAGCGACACATATATCGACACATGAAGGGCACAAGGCAGCTGGGGGGGGGCGACGACGACGCCGAAATAAAGTAGTCGGAGCTCTAGACACCCTGTGCAAGAGTATGAATTTCAAACGGTAGTAGTAGCATGAGATTTGCCGTGGCGCCCGCTATCCAGTGGTGTGGGGTGGTCTGGGCAGCTGCGACTCGCCCAGAGCATGCCCCCATCCAGATGGGCGAACTCGTCCACCTCTGGGAGCTCTGGCAACCTGAGTCGTGCACATCATGGCGAGAGTCCAAGGGGCCCAGCGCCCCGTGCTTGTCTATGATTGGCCCGCGCGGGCTGGAAGCATCGCGGACCCCTCAAATGGGTGGGCCACAATGATATTGAAGTTGATTTAAGCCAGACCCCGCCGTCCCTTTTAAATGACCACTTAGAGCTAGGAGTAGAAAGGCAGCATGAATTTCGTTCGGCCCAGAGGCATGGCTACGCCCCCGGGGCTTGCGCCACGCTGGGGCTGGCCCGAAAAGCTGTCGGCCCGAAAGCCAAGTGCTTGAGTAGATTCCAGAAGTATCTAATCAGGAGCTGCGGCTGCCAAGGATTGTGGACAAACGATTGCGCCGAGAGGAGGGTGCCTGCGTGACGGGCTTTGCGAGTGCGGGGAGAGGCTATGGCAGAACACGTTGGGATTGTGGTCTGCGGCCAAGTAGCGAGCAGACCAGCTGAGTTAGCATCGGGCTGCAAGGCCGCCATCGCTGTTGCCCACCGAGACATTTCAAGGCAGCTTGTGGCATCGAGCAAGTTCGCAGGTGTCAGACTTTTGAGCAGAGTTTGGAGGGCACGCCGCTAATACACACAGTGCGCCATGTGAAAGCTCACAGGACCAAAGAAGAGATGGCGCAGCTCGAGGGACTGGATCGCCTATTTATCCGCAGTGGCTAACGCTGTCGGAGATAGGCAAGCGAAGACAGCGCTGTCCCTCCACCCTGCGCCAGATCCAGATTTCTTCTCCAGCGTGAACCTCGCAGCCATCAGAGCTCAGAGCTTCATGAAAATATTAGCTGCGCAAATCATCCCGCTGTTCGCCAATGAGGTAAGGTGGAAGAGGCCGACGCGATTTCGGTCGGGCCGCTTAAGGCGGCAGACCAGTCGGCATTTCTGGCAGCACGGAGATTCCGACTTGCAGTGCACACGTTGTCTGCTGGTGGCGGAAGGATCGCCAGACGGAATCCCCCTTGATGGCTGCAAAGGCGTGTCTACTCAGATCAGTAGACTGCTCTCGAAACCCCTCGGGTATTCTCTCGTCGCCACGACTGGACTGGCTCAAGAAGCTGAATGTGGTGCTGCTGTATGTACCGTTCGAGAGCAAACCATTGTGTGCATGAAGTGTGAAGGTTGGTCCCAAGCTAAGTTTGAGAAACTTGGGCGCCCCTGTCAGCCCCCGACTATTTTTTATATAAAAAACATAGAGGTCCTGGCCATGGTGAGGCAAGGTAGGTGCCCCAACCGCCGTGTGGCCAAAACGCTGGACAAGGTGTTCCCTGTTTCAAGGCTGCGCCGAGTCCCGTCAGAGCCCCTAGAGACCTCTACTGCCACGCATGTTCGTACGGGTCTTTCGGCGTCAAAGGCGGACCCCTCCTATGAACCACGTACGAAAGCTTTGGTGGAGAGAATTCGAGTGCGGGAGAGCATTCGAGATGCTCAATACAGGGGATAGTTTCCGGGTGTTGCCCGAGGGGATTTCCCTCTCTCACATCCCCCTCCCCGATTCGTATCCCAGTTTATTCATTCAGGCTGAGATTACTTAGTGCGATGCACTCCCCCAATGGGCTTTCCATTCCATTCCATTCCATTCGTCGTCCTCCTCGTCATCCTCGTCGTCGTCGTCGTCGTCGCCGCCCCCGGTCGTCAACTCCCAGGGGGCGAAGAAAGGCCAGCACCTTCCCCAGTCGCAGCTACGCTCCTCGTTTCGTCGTCCGCGACCCCATTCGTCGTCGTCGTCGTCGTCGTCGTCGTCGTCGTCGTTGTCGTCTCCTTGAGGCCGCGGGGGGGCAGGCTCGCCCGGCCTCGCCCAGCGAGCGGCACTCGCGCAGGCAACGGGCTGCGAGGCCCGCGTCGAACGCACCAGGCAGCAGGCAGAAGCCGTGGGCGCGCAGCGCCTCAGCGGACCGTCGGCATGAGAGGAATGCGGAGGGAGAGGGAGGGAGGGGGAGAGGGAGAAGAGAAAGGAAGAGGAGGTGGTGGAGGAGGAGGAGGAGGAGGAGGACTGAAGACTGTAAAAAGACGATGTCTTCGAGGAGGAGGATGAGGATGAGGAGGAGGAGGAGGAGGAGGAGGAGGAGGAGGAGGAGGAGGAGGAGGAGGAGGGGAAGAAGGAGAAGGACGAGGAGGAGGAGAATGAGGAGGAAGAAGGGAAGATGGAGGATGAGGAGGAGGAGGAGGAGAATGAGGAGGAGGAGGAGAAGGAGGAGGAGGAGGAGGACGAGGAGGAGGAGAGGAGGAGGGCGAGGAGGAGGAGGAGGAGGAGGAGGAGGAGCCCCAGTGGAAGCCCCCAGGCAGCCACCGGCTGCACGCTCGGGTGACCCGCGCCGGCCTCGGCCGGCGAGGGTCCCGTCGCGGGGCCGTGGGCCGACTGGGGGGGTGTGGCATGCAGCTGAGCACGGACCGACCGTCCCGGCATTTGAGCGGATCCTGGTGAGGGGTGCTCTGGAGGCCGTAGTGGCCTCCTTGAAAATCCTAGGGGCACCTTGGGCCAGGGGCACCTCTGGCAACACCCGAAACATCGGCAGCTCAGAGTCGGTCCCTGGACTCCTCCTGGGGCTCCTCCAAACGAACATGTTCTCCGAGCTGCGTCCAGCCGTGGCGACGAGCCCACCCACCCCCGAGTGCCGACCACTGGTGTCTCAATCTTACCAGCCTCGAGCGCATCCCCATTTGGCACGCCAAAAGGCGATGGCAATCTCAGGGATGCGGCCTCAAAAAATAAGGGGATCCCTAAGATTGGCATCGTGATGAGGAGGTGCCCAGCATAAAAATAGGGATATGTTCCAGGCTGGTGTGTATGGGATCCTGGTGTATACATTTGTCGTCGCTTCCCTGGGACAACGGGAAAACAAAGGTATACGCCACACCACCCCGACGTCGTCCCCGACCCTCTCAAAAGTCCTGGGACTGGACAGCAGCCCGCCGATGGTAGTGTATACGTTGCAGTTTCCGAGCATGGGCAGGGGGTGGAGGCCCTTGTGAATTCCGCTTTGGGCGAGTGTGGCAGTAGCCCAGCGACCTCACCAGCGCCACCCCCCTTTCATCCCTCTCTCCCTTTCCTCTCTCCCCCTTCCTCCCTCGTCGAAGTCATGATCTGTCTCCCCTTCCTCTCTCCCTCCTCCGGTTCGTTTTGCCTGTCTGTCTGCTTTCCACTGCTGTACAACATACCTCACCAGCCGGTGACTCACCAGTCCTATCCCCCCCAGGCAGGCCGAACCTTGGGGGGGATGGCTGCGTCTGGAGACCTTATTGCCATCAGCGCCTCATCGCCTCAGAGCGAGGAGGAGGAGGGCGGAGGAGAAGGAGGAGGGAGAGGGAGAAGGGGAACGAGGATAAGGAGGTGGGGGAGGAGGAAGGAAAGGAGGGAAGGGGAGAGAAGGATGAAGCGGGGGGGAAGGAGGATGAGGAGAAGAAGGAAGCGATGCGATGCGATGCGACCACCGTTGTGGACAGCGTCTGGGCTGGCCGTGGCCTCGCGAATCTGGCTTGTCTAGATACATGCAATTCGAGGCACGTTACAAGTTGGACGAGAGGAGGAAGAGGAAGGCCTTGGTATCTGTGTCGGCGCGGATTCGGCGTGTCGTCCCTCATTCGCTGGGTGTTCTCTTTATGGGTGTTGGTCCTGGGCGGTATCTGGTGTGGGGTCGGCGTGATGATGCTCGAGCGCCATCCATGTTCCGGTGTCCGAGGCTGTCTTGAAGAGCATGCCACGTATCAGAACACATCGGACACGCACTCTCATTACCCACGTGGCAGACAGCAAGGGCACCGATGGCAGGGCACGACAAGAAATCGCGAACGCGTTGCGGAGTTCTACAAGCACTTGTACAACTCGACAGTTGATGCGACGCAGCCGGAGCGACCAAACAACGACATCACCGACCACAGACCCGCACACCGACCAGCAGACCCACCAGCAATCCGGCAATCCGCCCGACCGAATGCCGGCGGGGCCGACCGACCCGTAGACCAGCAGACCGGCCACCGACAGCCGACCAGTAGACCAGCAGATCGACTACCGACCACCGACCAGCGGACCCACCGACTACCACCGAACGACGACCTCACCGAGCACCGAGCAACAGACCGACCAGCAGACCTGCAGACCAGCAGGCCGAACGCCGGATCGGCCGACCAATCCGCAGACCAGCAGATCGACCACCGGCGACGAGCAGACCAGCATACCGACTACCGACCACCGACCAGCAGCCCCACCGACTACCACCTTTCGCACCGACAGAGCTGAACAAGGCTACAAAAGGTCTCCAGCATAGCAAGACCCCGACGCCAAAGGCCTCCGCGCAAACATGCTCAAAGAGAGCCTAGAGAAGCTCAGAAGTGCACTTCTCCACCTTTACGAAACGATCTTGCAAGACAACGCCCCGCCGCCGTCCAGCTGGAAGAGCACAGACATCGCAGTAATGCCAAAAGTGGGCACCTCACACTTCCACATACTACCGCCCCATTTGCACGATACCTTTGTAGTATAAGCAATTCAGTCGGCTGCTGTACTCCAAGCTACAACCAAGACTTGGCCCTCACCAGACTGCCGACCAGGCGTGCTTCAGACCAGGCCACTCGACCACTGACCACCGATTCACCTCCCACCGATCACGTGATCGAGCAAACGAATGGGGACAACATATATATATGTATATATATATATATATATATATGGGTCGCGATACTCGAATGCAAAACAACTTCCGACTCAATTGAGCAGAAACAACCCTATGGGCAACACTAATGGCACAAGGTCCCAAACACGGATACACTGCACTATGGACAGGCAGCCACGGTAGAAAACAGACGTCAGCAGCAGATCCTTCAGCCTCCTGCGGGGCACGGCGCAGGGCGATCCCCTGAGATTCCCACTTTGCTTCTCAACGCTCGTCTACAACACATCCTTGACCCGCTGCTCTCCGGCTGGAAGCAACACGTGAATGGAATGCAATCAGGATTCACGAGCACCGCCACTCTCACCAAGCGGCGCGTCGTTGATAACGTGCTCATCACCAGCCATCGGGGAGACGTAAGACTCGGGTTCGGGGGACTCGGGTTGGCCTGACAGGGCCATCATGACAATGATTCGCCCTGGTCCAAAATTTGCCGCGAACTCCCGCTGCAAACATCCCACGAAAACTGGACCGACAAAATCCAAGACGCGCTCGTCAAATAGGGTCGGCAAACCCGAGTGCCGGCGCACTCGAGCGAAGTTGAGCATGCCAAGACAGATGTACACGTACACCCTCCGAGATCACACGTGCGCGAGCGACCACATTCAAGCGCAGGCGGGCGAACGCTGACCGCATATATATATATATATATATACACATATATATACATGTATACACATTATGTCGCTGCCCTCTGATAAGCACTCCTTGGTCAGGCTACGATGCTTGGCGACTTTGCGCGCGCAGAGCAAACACGCACGGGCTCCAAATCCACCCGATCAAAACAAACATACGATGCAACCAGACAAGAAAAATCGGAAGGGCGAGCTCACGCACGACGAAGTTGAGCGACGAGCGACGAGCGACGACGACAGCGACGACGACGACGCGAGCAGCATGTAGGTGGCGATCTGCCCCACAGCGCCTTTGTACACCACAGTGATCGCGTGCACCACAGCGCGCGCGTGTACACCACAGCGCCTGCGTACACCGCAACAGCCGTGTGCAACGCAGCGCCTGTCAATGCTTGCGTGCACCGCAACGCCTGTGCACACCACGGCGCCTGTGTACACCACATCATCCGCGTGCAACGCACCGCTTGTGTACACCACAGCGCCTGCGTGCACAGGACAGGTAGAATGAGCATGTATGTGAGGATCAGTTGAGGACAGCTAAAGGTCCCGCCAGGAAAGTGCTGACAATAAGATGCGACGTTCTTCCATCCTCCCTCCTCCCTCCTCCTCCCCCTCCTCTTCTTGCTCCATCGCCTTCCCCCCAGTGTGCGGGTCGGCGCTACAGCGCACGTGCGAATCTCAGCGTGCACCACAGAATGGTCGATTGTATCAGTCCACTTGGTTCTCGGACGGCCAATTTTGTTGGAGCCTCCTGGGCGCGGGTAGGTGGACTTAGGTAATGCGGGCGGACTCGGGAGGACTCGTAGATTCCAGAAGCGCTTCGTTTTCCACCAGGATCCCTTTCCAAGTCATATATATAAATATATATATATATACAGTGCTCCGTGGAATCCACAGGCGCTCCATTTTGTCATAGGGAATCCTTATTAATACATCTGCAACCATGGTGCTCTATTGAACACGGTTGCTGTGGTGCACACAGGCGCTTTGGTGTGCACAGGCGCTGTAGTGCGCGCAAGCATTGTGGTGTACACTGGTGCTGTGCTGTACACGGCTGATGTGGTGTGCGCAAGCGCTGTAGTGTACACGAGCGCTGTGGTGCCCGCGGGCACTGCGGCACACACTGGCGTTGTGTTGCGCTCGGCTGCAGTGGTGTTCGTAGGCACTGCGTACACAGGCGCTGTGGTGCACGCAGGGACCTTGGTGTACACAGTCGCTGTGGTGCAGACCGCAACCTGCATGTTGCCACCCGTCCTCGGTCATTCCCAAGCATTTCCGGACGCCGCCGACGCGAAACGTGACGTCATCGGCCCCATCCACCCCCCCCGAAATGGTTGCCATCATCGGCCCGGACTAGAGTGCAGGCTCCAGCCGCGTCCGCGCGAACGACGGCGATGAGCGACGAACGACGAGCGACGAGCAGCGAGCTACGAGCGACGGGAGACGACGACGACGACGACGACGACGACGACGACGACGACGACGACGACGACGACGACGACGACGACGACGACGACGACGACGACGACGACGACGACGACGACGACGACGACGACGACGACGACTGCGGACCAGACTCCTATGCGGATTCCTATGCGGACACCTATGCGGATCCCGACGCGCACGGCGGCAATGCTCGGAGCGCCCTGGGTGGGGGGCGTTCCGTTACAGGAGGGATGGATGGGGGTGACGGGGGCCATGGCGCCCGTCATGCCCCAGCTGTAGAGAAACACGCTCCAAATGCCTCGGCCAATTGGTCAGCTCCCACGAACCGATGGATACGGAAACCACACCGCACGAGAATTGTATGCGCATCGTTCACGTCTCGCAAACAAGAGCTGGCAACCAAATGCTACCCTCTGGCTTACCGACTCCGGCTGTTCAGCAACACTTCCGGCACCGACAGCTTCATTCATACGGAGCAAAGGTGTGGACGCTCACGGAGCACCTCCAGCAACACTTACGACGGACACAACGACGCATGATTCGCACACGATCATCAAAACGCCGCGGCGGCGCACAACAAAAACACATAACCGAGTGCGGGAGATGATAATACCCCCAGATAACAAAGTTCTGGGGTCTGGCGGGGGTAATCAACGATTTTCCCTGGTGAAGGTGATGTTAGTTAGAAGTTATGATGATGATGGTGACGATGGTCATGATGATGGTGATCCTGGGCGCTCCGCAGAACACTGACTCGAGAGATCTCGATGCTCGTGGCTACAACTTGCCAGCGCAAGAAACGTCCTTGGCCGTTCTGGCCAAGGTACCTCTCTTGCGCTGGAATTCGAGTTACTGGCCCACGCAGGCGCGGCGCCCTTTTGGAGCCGTCCTTGCAGGGGAGGCATTCGGTCCATCAAAATCCAATATGTCCCCATGGCCCTGCCACACGTTCCTGACTCGGGAACGGCTGAGAAAGTGAGAATCCCATGGCCCTGCCGTACGTCCGTGACTTGGGCAAACTGAACAGGTGAGAAGCCACAGCCCTGCCACACGCTGTGATTGCGGGCGCTGATATGGTGAGACCACCATGGCCATGCTCAGCGTTTTTGATGTTGCTGCTAGTCTACATGAAATGATCGCAACTTCGATTCGCAACTTCCCCCGTGGATGATCAAGTTCGGCTTCCGCGTCTCTCCCCACAATCACAACCTCTTGAACGGGGATTAAAAAAAGGAGGGGTGGTTAAGGGGGGTACGTTTTATTATCGCCCGCACGCGGCTACCTTCACAACGGCCACAGACGGACTGCTTCCGACAGCACAAACAAGGAGGCAACAGACAACGACCACTGCACCAACAACACGAGCGACGACGCAGACAGCGACCCACTTCAGCGCGACACACTGGCCACGCCCGACATTGACGGCGAGGACGGAGCAGACAGCACCACTGCAGACCCGTTGGAACCGTGGGCCGGCTACACTCAGCGAGCGACTCTACGCGCAGAGCACCTCCACCGCATGGACAGCTGGGTGACTGCACCCAAGCAAAAAGTTTGGCGCGTGGCTTCAAGAATAGCAAGCATCGGCGGCGAGCCCAGGGGGGGAAGTGAAAGGGTCGGGCCTTCTTAGAAGGCTTGGAAGTCCCCGGCCCTTCTGAGAAGTGTTCTTAGCCTTCCCGAAGACGCAGGAAAACCTCTCCGGGCCTTCTGAGAAGTCCCGCCGCCTTCTGAGAAGGCCTTCTCCTTCTCACTTCCCACCCTCGCTCGCCGCCGCAACGGGCAACCCGCACACTCCCGTGTACACCCGACTCGCGAAACACGAGGGCTGCTCTGGGACAGGGCCACAGCAGCCGCAGACGAATCAGGCCTGCGCTCGGCCCTCCGGCACTCCCCTTGCCATGGACCAGCCTCTGCCGACAAGGCGAGTGCTCGGCGAGCTCGCGCTCGCACCGGGGCCGCACGAGCTGGACATGGCGAGTGCTGCACCGGCAGCCACCCCTCAGCGGGCGCCAGCGGGGCCAGAGGCAGCACCCAGGCCAGCACAAGCGCTGGGACGACGACGTCAACACCTGCTCACGCCAGTACAGAGCCGACCTCCGCCGACCGCCCACACATACCCATCCGAGAGAATATCCAGACGAGGAGAAGGAGAGGAAAGAGGACGAGGATGAGAGCCTAATCCCACCTTTCCTCCCCCTCTTCAAGATCATACTTTTTTCTCGTCTTCTTTCCTCCCTCCTGTCTGTCTGTTCCTGCTTCACTTCTACTAACACGTAAAAATACGTGCGCCGCCAGTGACCCCTGGAGCGGTGCTCCAAGGGTCACCCGGCCCTAGTTTGATCCAACCCCCCAGGGCCGACCGGCCTTGGGAGGGAGGCTTCGTCTGAACGACTATTCAGCCACCAGGAACCAGGAACCAGGAGGACGAGGAGGAAGAGGAGGAGCCACCCTCTCGTATGCCTCCGAGCCCCCCCCCCCGCCCTTGCCTGGTCCACCTGTGTAATGCGCCCCTGTGGTCCTTCAGCGGCCGGGCCCCCCCCATGGACAGAGTGAGGTCGTTCGAAAGCCCCTCGCTCTGACGAGCACTGCTCTGCATCCTGTTCCCAAGCGCCTCCCCCTACAGGTCCCCTTGCGCCCGATGCGCGCCGCGAGGACTCGTGCTTGCGAGCAAGCGGAACGCTTTTCCCCACACGCCGGCTCGACTCACGCAGCTCACCACCTGCAACGCCTGGTGGAGTTCATGCGATACCTCGCGTGCGCTGCTATCACTCGCTGCGGCGACGTCGCCTGGCTGGCGGAGAAACAGTGTGCGCGCATGTTGGCTGCTCAGCTGTCGGCTACGACCGCTTACCACTGGAGGTCCAGTCTTGCTTACGAAGCCCCACGAGGTGGTCATAGTACTCTGCACGCGACGCGTCCTAGCGCATCTTAATTCCCAGCCCATCGACTCGGTGTTGGGAAAATCGTGTGCGAGTGCGCGTTTATCCGCGGAGTGCGCTGAGCGGCTCCTGGGTCTTGGCCCAGAGCGGGCCTGTAGTTGGGCTGGTGGTTGTGAATGCTTGCCCCCGTCCCCTTACCCCACGTCTCTTTTAACGCGGCTCTTGATTGGGCCTTCACGAGCTGCAAGCTTCGAGGCTCCACGTCTGCGCGCGCGAGCATGCCCGCGGCCATCGCGCACCACGCGTGAGATGCCTGCTACTAGCACCAGTCGACCGCACGTCCTCCTCGTCGACGTCGCGCCGCCATCACCGGCTGCGGCGGCGTCCCCAACGGCGTCGGCGTCGCGTCGCTCTCGTCTCTGGGCGTCGTCGCCCTCGCCGCCGTCCGAGTCGTCAGCATCGCCCCCGCTGCTGGCGTCGTCTGCCGTCTTCGTCGGCGTCGTGCTGGCCGTCGTCGCCGACGGGCGAGGAGGAGGAGGAGGAGTCCTCCTCCTCCTGCTCCTGCTCCTGCTCCTGCTCCTGCTCCTGCTCCTCCTCCTCCTCCTCCTCCTCCTCCTCCTCCCCCTCCCCCTTTCTCATCCTTCTCCTCTCCTCCTCCTCCTCCTCCCTCCTCCCTCCTCCTCCTCCTCCTCCTCCTCCCCTCCTCCCCCTCCTCCTCCTCTCCTCTCCTCCTCCTCTCCTCCTCCTCCTCCTCCCCTCCGCCGTTCTCCTCCTCCTCCTCCTCCTCCTCCTCCTCCTCCTCCTCCTCCTTGTGGAGGCCGGCACCTCGAGGTGGGCCGGCCTCAGCAGCTCGTCGGCCCAGGCGTGGCGCCAGCCGGCCGCATCCTGGGCGCGCGCTGCCGCGGGCCTCCGCCCTCCCGCCTGGCCTGCCCATGCCCTCACCGCGAGAAAAAAAGCAGGCGCCCTGCTCTCGGCGGCGAGCGAGGGTCGACGACGACGACGACGACGACGACGACGACGACGACGACGACGGACGACGACGACGACGACGGACGACGACGAGAGGGCCAGAGCGGAGACGAGGGGGCCAGACGACGATGGCGACGACGACGACGAACAGAAATCGGGAGGGAGAAGTGGCGGGGGCGGGAGCCAGGAGCAGGGTGCGCAGCAGGAGGCGGAGGTGGATAATGCAGACGCGGGGGATGCAGGGGAGCGGGAGGCGGATCGAGGAGGACCGAAGAGGGGGAAGGGAGGAGGAGGAAGGAGCAAGAGGAGGAGGAGGAGGAGGAGGAGGAGGAGGAGGAGGAGGAGGAGGAGGACCAGTGCAACCCCAAGACACAGCAACGACGTCGCAATCAACCCTCCCTCCGATTGCTTTTTCATAGCCCCCATCGGAAGACAACCGTTTGCGAATCCTCAATCGTGCCCAAAACCATTCTTGGGACTCCAGCGCAGCAAATCAACGTGGCTGCTGCCTCCTGACAAGCCAGGATCGTGCCAGAACGCCATACCTGGAAGTTCAGCACAGCGAACCAAGTTGACAGTCACGTCCTGACAATCCTCAACCGTGCCAGGACATCACTCATGGGACCACAAACAGACGAGCCCTTGAAAATGCTGCAAAAAGTTCAGACGACTGCGCGGGACGCCAGCGCGAGAACCACACATTGAAAACGACCCGCCCTCCATCCTTGAAGCTGCTGCAAACTTTGATGATGAATGTGCGACGCGCTGAAGCGATAACCACATTAAGAAACTGCCAGCCCTCCTCCCGCGAAGCTGCTACCAAGTTCAAACTTCAAGATCCTAAATGGGGATGGCGTCTCAAGCGAAACGCCCGGCCCGCCCTACCAACACGTCTGGGGGAGCGACAGGGACGAGTTACCTGTAAGGAAAGGGACGAGGGAGGAGGAGGAGGAGGAGGAGGAGGAGGAGGAGGAGGAGGAGGAGGAGGAAGAGGGATGCCGACGACGTGCGGAGGGGTGAAGAGACGAGGAAGGAGGAAAAATAAAGAGGATTACAGTGCGGGCGCGGCCGCAAGAAACCATCGCAAGAAACCCAACCCTGAAAACCCGTGCGCGAGGTGCACCTGACGAGAAACCCGGAGCACCCTGGACGCAGCAGCTTCTTGAACGGCCGCGGTAAGTCACCGCGCAGCGCGCGGAGCGAAGAAACCCAAGGTACCCTGACGAAAAGCGCATGATTTCTTGATGCGCGCCTCCACTGTATGTACATATGTGTAGAGAGCGGTATCAGTGATCATGAAGGTAACACTGGCCAAGCCAGGGTGGCGCGCTGGACCTCACGAGGATACACCACTTGCGCCACCTGGCCAGACTCTTCTCGCGGCAGGGCGGGCCTGGGGCGGGGGGAGAGAAGCAGCGGCGGGCCTGCAAACGATGCTGCAGGGGCTCGCGGAGGAGGAATGGAATAAGAAGAAACTGCATAATATAGACAGAAACTGTTGGCGCTCCACGCGGATTTCTTAGGTCTGCGCTGAAGGCCCCTCCCTGGCGCGCGGAGCGCGCCAGGGGCGGCGCTGGAGGCGCCGCCAGGGGAGCCCAGCGCGGATCCAAGATATCCGCGCGGACCGCCAAAACTTTATGGTCATGGCAGTCTTTCTCTTCTCCGAGGGGAGGAAGAAGGCAGAATGGGTGAGGAGAAGGCCGTTAGGGGGCCCTTTGTGCCTCAAGCTTGAAACCTGAGCGGGGCCCCTGGGTGCTACACGAATGCGAGCCCCAGTGGCCATCTGGTGGGCCTGGCAGCCGCCCGTGGCGACGGGGCCTGCCTCCTGCGAGGCATGGCCCCCGAGCCCCGCAAGCCAGGGAGCCCCGCTCGACAGAGCATTGCACAGAGGAGGAGGGAGGAGGAGGGAGGAGGCCGGAGGAGGAGAGAGGAGGAGGGAGGAGGAGGAGGAGGGGGAGGAGGGAGGAGGAGGGAGGGAGGAGGAAGGAGGGAGGAGGGAGGAGGAGGAGGGAGGAGGGAGGAGGGGAGGAGGGAGGAGGGAGGAGGAGGAGGAGGAGGAGGAGGAGGAGGAGGAGGAGGAGGAGGAGGGAGGAGGGAGGAAGAGGAGGAGGGAGGAGGAGGAGGAGGAGGAGGAGGAGCCCCGCTCGAGAGAGCACTGCACAGAGGACGCGGGGCGCCGCAGCTCCTGGAACGTCGGCGTCACGACCGCCCCCGTGGCCAGCGAGAGGGGCGCGGCGGAGGCCCGCTGCCGGCACATCGCGCGCGCGAAGGCGCGGCAGGACGCGAGCACCCTCTCCTTGCGACGGCAGGCGGTGGGGGGGCACGCCTCCTCCTCCTCCTCCTCCTCCTCCTCCTCCTCCTCCTTCTCATCCTCCTCCTCCTCCTATTCCTCCTCCTTCTCCTCCTCCCTCCTCCTCCCTGCTCCTCATCATCGTCACTCCTCTTCACCGTCAGTCCTCTCGTCTACCTCTCCTCCTCGTCACACATCCTCCTCGTGGTCCCCCCCCGCCTTCGTCCTCCTCGTCGGTCTCGTCCTTGTCTTCGTCCTCGTCCTCCCACTCCTCCTCCTCCGATAGTCAAGACTGATAGTAAGGATGCGCGATATGATTGCAGCCCCCTTGGGCGCCCTTGCTGAAGCTTTTTCGAGCGCGGCGGGCCATCGAAAGTGGCCTAGGATGGGCCAAAGAGGCACGTGTGCAAGAGCACCCTTGGGAAGGATGCCCATCCTTACCATTGGTTTCGACTGTACTTCTCCTCCTCCTGAAGGGCAACGATACGGGGGAACTGGCATAGGGGGGGACACATTGACCTGGAATCGGCGACACATCGCCGATAGATCACCAATGAGCCCCCGATGGCCAACCCGCACCTTCCTGCGCGGGCAGGGGCTATCGGGCCCCTATTGGCGATCCATGGGCGATTGGGGTCGATGCATCCCCCCCTATGCCTATGCCCCCCCTGGCGTTGCTCCCGACCTACGTCTACTCATCTCACCAGCCACCCCTCACCCCTCCCCCTTCCCCCAGGCCCCCACCAGGCCCCCGCTCCTCGTTGAGGCGCCGCGCCCCTCCTGGGGATCCACCGCCGCCCCGCCCTCCAAGCCGAGTCCACATGCGGCGGCGAGAAGGGCCGCTCGAAGGCCACGAGGTGGAGGAGGGTCTACTGCTACTGCTTCGAGGAGGAGGAGGAGGAGGAGGAGGAGGAGGAGGAGCAGGAGGAGGAGGAGGAGGAGGAGGAGGAGGAGGAGGAGGAGCAGGAGGGACGAGTTTCTATTACCCGCCGAGGGTTTCGGGGGGGTCCTCAACATTACAGACCCTTCGCGGTTAGGGTGATGACAATTAGTATGAGAAGGACGACTCGATCTCAGAGACGGATCTGCTGAAGCAGAGCGGTGCGAAGCACCCGACACGAGGAGGAGGGCTCCAGCGCGCGGCTGTACCCCCAGCTCTAGACGCGATGACGGCAAAGCCTGGCCGCCTGGACGGAAAAGCATTGAGCGTCCGCCCAGCCGGCCAGGGTCTTGTCGGCGGGCAGGCCGTCAACAAGCTCTCCAGGACACCTCAAGCTGGGCTTTATGCGGGCTGGGCTTGGGCACCGCGCAGGGCTCCCTCCATGAAGTAGGACAGGAGGCAGAAGGATTGAAGAGGAAGATAGCGAGGAGGAGGAGGAGGAGGCAGAGGCGGAGTCGGCGGAGAAGGAGGGCGACGACCAACCTTGGAACAGACACAAGCAGTAGTCATCAACATCGGCACCAACATCCCCACAACCACTGCCACCTTCAAAGTCGTCGTCGAAATGGCCACCGCCATCCCCATGGGGAAATGGAATGTGATGCACCAGTCGCGAAACAAAATGATAGAACTCAAACCGCTACACCGAGCATTCGGCTCGGCCTGGGCCGGGGCAAATTCTTGAGCCGCTCGACATCGTGAACTCGACTTGTGCAGCTTTCACGGGCTGGTGAGGTGGAGGCTGGGCACTCCTGTACAGGAGTGCACTGTGGGACGCAGGAGAGTCGAGTGGGGGGGAGGGGGGGTTCGAGAGAGTTAAAGGGACAGCGGTGGGGGGGGGACCCTCGAGCCACTCAAAGCGGGGCTGGACCCATCCACATAGCGGCGGGTAGGGCGTCCTGCTCCGAACGCCTGAGGTGCGCTTGGCTTCTGTCTGTTGCGCCGCTGTTCTTGTCGCGTTGAGTTCTGCATCGTGGGACGTGATGACTATGGGCTGCAAAGGCTGTGTGGCTGAGAGACGCCCAGAACAAGGGGATCCAGCTCCTGCCCATAGTCCTTATTGTGTTCCTTCCTTCTCAGTCTGCGCACGTATACTGGTTTTGATTGGTGATCGTCTTTTCATTGCCCTTCCTCCACTTCGTCGTCGTCGTCATTCTGTTTCTGAACCTTGGTATTCATCGTGATAGTCCTCGTCCTCCTCCTCGTCATCCATAATATCGTCGTTTGCATTACACGTCGGTCGGAAAGGGTAGGTAAACACATGAAGTAGTAAGGCGGATCAAGTATATTGGGTTCAGACCCTCCCAACAACAAAACATCTCAAAACTACGCCGATCCCTGACATAGGAAGGCTAGAAGTAGATTGGGAACTGGGATTCCAAGAATACCTACATTCAACGACCGACGGGTACTGTGCCATCGTAGATTGGATCTGCACCATGCCGTCAGTCATTCCTACTTCTCTCCCTTGCCCTAATCGTCCCCCGCTTGAATATATTGCTTGAGCTATTTTTATTCCCCTTCGATCTCAGATCCGCCCACATCTCCCCAACATCGCTGACATGACGATCCTTGGTTATACTCTGTTTATCGCAAACGTGATCAACATGAACTATGGCATCGATGGTATCATGCTCCAGTCCGTGCTTTTATGTGATTATCGTCGTGCCCGATTCGCCGATGCACTGAGCCCGAACCGCCTCCTACTTTTCCATCCACGTCCCCATCCTTTCTGCTCATCCTCATTGTCCTCATGCTCCTCCTCCACTCCCGCCCCTCCCTCCCTACTCCTCCCTCACACTCCCCGTCCGCTCCTCCTTCTCCCCCTCCTCCTCCCGCTCCTCCTCCTCCTCCTCCTCCTCCTCCTCCTCCTCCTCCTCCTCCTCCTCCTCCTCCTCCTCCTCTTTCGAAGGCGGCAAACCGGCGCCGCGAGGGAGGAGGGTAGAAGGACGACGAGAAGGGGGGGAGGAAGGACGAGGAGAAGGGGGGGAGGAAGCTTGAGGAGGACGGACGTGGAGAAAGGGAGGGAACGGGGTCTGCACCCCGCATGGGCGCAGCCCGCTGCCGGCGCAGACTGAACAGACACCGCTGGCCAGCCCCGTCTCCCCCTTCCCGGCTGAGCCGATCCTTCTCCGCGCGAAGTCTTGCGGCCAGCAGCGCAGGCCCTGCCAGCGTCGCTGCCGCCAGCTCGAGGGCCTCGGCTTCTACTCCTGCTCAGTCTGCGTTCCCCCCCTCCGCCGAACTGTCTCAACAGTACCATACTTCTCCCTCCCAACTCCTCCTCCTCCTCCTCTTCTTCTTGGCACTCATCACACCCTTTCGCCCGTCTTCCTCCTCCATCCACTCGTATGCAGTATCCTCATTACGTTGTCATGTGTTGTGAGTTGCACTTGTTGTATCTCTGTTCCTCTCTCTCTCTCTCTCTCCCCCCTCTCTCGCTACATCTCTCTCTCTCTCTCTTCATATGCGCATCATTTTTTCTTTAATCCGCGCAGCCCGCACGCCCAATCAAACACGATTTGCCGCACCATGCCTCCTGTAGTACGACTACGTCAGTCTCAAGCAGCCTTGGCTCGGACGTAAGCGCTGCCTCGATAACTACAGACCATTCGCCTGCACAGTTATCTCGAGTGCACTCGGCAGAAATGCGGATACGATCACTAAGCCACGTGTTTACCATATCCGCGGAGTCTTTTTGGCTACAAATCAAGCTCAGTCCGTGGCCTTAGTCGCGAACATTACCGCGACCGAATGCCTTCAAAAAGTGCCCTCTCAAGTTCAGCCCGGGCCTTCGTCCGAACTGATCTGCTCCAATTGGCTCAATATGTGTATTACATATGTCTCTCGTTCTCTCATACTGTTTGATTGCTTGTCCTCTCTCTCTCTCTCTGTCTATTCCTGTCCCTCCCTCTCCCTGCACATCTGCGTATATACACATGCTTCCATAGTCCACGCAGTTAACTGGTACATCGAAGTACATGCGTGGTGGTCACCGTATAGTGGGTTATGGCAATGCCGATGCTTGATGTTTACTTATGAATTGGGTGTTCGCTCTCTCGTCCTCTGTGCTCTCTTCAGCTTGGAATGGTCGCATAATCCTCCATCGTTCCTGTTTTCTCTTTCGCCACACACAGAAAGAGAAAGAGAGAGAGAGAGACAGAGAGAGAGAGAGAGACAGAGATAAACAAAGAGAAAGAGACGGAGAGAGAGAGAGAGAGAGAGAGACGAGAGATATTCTTAAACACCGAGAAGTGGCTCTTCATCTGTATCTCAAGGAATTCCTCCTCCTCCTCCTCCCTCCTCCTCCTCCCTCCTCCTCCTCATCCTCCTCCTCCTCCTCTTCCTCCTCCCCCTCTGCCCTCCTTCCTCCTCCCTCCTCGCGAAGCCTCGCCCGCCGGCAGACGCCGCAGCTCCGCCTCGCAGGCCTCGTCCACGGCCCTCCAAACGAGGGCCTCGTTCGTCCCCGAGATCTCCTCGTCGAGGCCCTCGCCGCCCCTCTCGGCCACGGCCCGCCGCTCGGCGTCGTCCGCGAGGAGGAGCCGGAGCTCCCTCATGCTGCGCTCGTCGGGGCCCCTCCTGTGGAGCGGGGGCAAGCGCTCGGTGGCAACTCGGGGGGGCCCCCCATTCGGGGATGGACAGTAAACCCTGTAGCAGAGCGTGGTTGAGTGAAAACGACCTCGGGCCCAAACCTTGCGGGCGCAAGCCCAGAAAAGGGCGGCCCGCTCGAGAACCGAGGACGGACAATCCACACATCGACGTGTCAGGGTGGGGGCTCTGCCCACCCCCGACCCGTACCGTCGTGCTGGCACTTGCACATCGTCGCTGCCCGACGCCAATCGACACTAAACTGGCGCCTCCTCGTTCACTGCCAGTCGCCAGTGCACGCGAAGGCGTTCTAAAGACATCAGTGCGAGGATATAGAAGTCTACCATGATTTGCTATTACAGTCTTTCTCGCCATCGCTCGGACGTCCATTCCGTGTGTTTTTTTGCGGTTTCGTGCGTGGTTTTTCCGCCGCATGGTCAAGGATGCTCCTCGATGGTCCTCGCCGAAGGAAAAATGCACACGTCCGAGCGATGCCGAGCTTTGGTCTGCGGCGAGCTGGGGCCAAGAAGCGGTCGTGCTGACGGCGGGACGCGTCCGCAGCTCACTACGGCGAAAGCCGAGGAGGGGTAAGGAACGGCGGAGGAAGCAGCCGCGGAACAGCGAGAGAGCAACGGAGGGGCAAACACGGGAGGAGAAAGCGGCAGCGGGAGAAAAAAACACTTTTTTGGTCTGCGGGTCGGGAGCGGGCCCCTTCCGGTTAAGAGCTAGGCGGGGCGCGCAAAGCACTAATTGGGGAGACAGGGCGCGGACGGGCGGGGCCTCAGGCGGCCGGAGGGCGCGGGGTGCGCGGGAGAAAATAACACACAGCATGCGCAGAGAAACTTGCGGAGGTCCGCGCAGGCTGCTCGGGTCGGCGCGGGACCCCCCTCCCCGCACCAATTTCCCTCCCCAGCGCGCAACGCGCCAGTGCTGGCGCCTGAGGCGCCTCCAGGGATGCGGGAAGCAGCGTCTGGCGTTAGATCGGTCATGTCCCCCTACAGGCGGAGTTTGACGGACACAGAATAGATTGTCAAGCAATATACACAAAAACAATCCAAAACAAATCCGCCGACGACCCCTCGGGGTCACGGCGTGTAAAATGGTTCCCCCTCCCCAAACCCCGTTCCCCGGGAGCCCGGTCCGGCCAGTTTGGACGGGGGGGGGGGGGGGGGGGGGGGGGGGGCAAAAGTGCTGGCCGCACCCTCGGAGCCTCAGGGGGCTCCAAAACGGGCCAAGAGGGCACCAAAAGGCCCCCCGGACGGTCCAAGAGGGCTACGAGTCGCCGAAAGATCGCTCCAAGACGCCCAAGGTTGCCTCCAGACGGCCCCAGGGGCCCCCAAGACACCCCAAGCCATCAAGAGGCGTCCCAGGAGGCCCTCCAGAAGCAAAAATCGTTCCAATCCCGAGGGAAGACGTATATTTATAGCACATTCGCCTCTTGAGTTTTCACAAGGCCCACAACGGCCCAAGAAGACTTCAAGATCGACCCAAGATAGCCCAAGAGGCCCCCAAGAGGGCTCCAAGACACCCCAAGAGGGCCCCAAGACGGCCCCAGAAGCTTCCAAAACGGCCCAGCCCTGGGACGGCCCCAAGATGTCCAAGAGGAGGCCCAGAGGGAAAACTCCAATGGACATTTCGAGCACTCGGCCCCGAAAAAACCTCAGGAGGCGCCAAGGGGCACCCCCAAGAGGCTCCCACGAGGCCCCCGAGAGGCCAAAAAGCGGCCCCGGCTCCTAAGACACCTCAAAAGTGCTGCTAGGAGGCCCCATAGAAACCCAAAAGCAGAGCCGCGATCCGCCACGTTCCGCAAACTCCGTTTGTCACTCTTCTGCCGCCCCAAGGGGTCGGCGGTGCGGCGTCAGCCAATGAATGATCGACAAATCGTCCCCAGACTGTTAACCGACAAAAGTCTGGCGCCGACCTAAGAAATCCTGGCGGGCACCCGGAAAACCGTGCGCGCATGTTCGTTTCGCTTTGTATCCTCGTCAGGTCCACCTGGAGGGACTGCCCGGTGGCCGCCGTCTCCGGATCCAGGATCGCGAGAATGTCCATGCTGTACACGTCGTTCGGGTTGTCCTTCTCGATGAAACCGTAATACTGCAGGAGGGCGTCGTTGCTCCGCTTCTCCCCGTAGTTGATGCAGACCTTTAGGTCGGGCCTGTCCCCCTACAGGGGGATTTCGGACGACAAATTAAACAATCCAAACAAATGCTGCAAAATGGTAAAACAAATATTCAAACATCGTCCCCAGAGGGTTTTTTATTATTATTATTCCCCATGTCCTAAGATGGGGTTCTTGTTATTACTTGGACGCCTCCTACTCCTTCTTCTTCTCCCTCCTCCTCTTTTCTCCTCCCCTCCTGTCGGACTTACTCATACTCACACTTGCTCATACTCAGACTTACTCATACACAGACTTACTCATACTCAAATTTACTCATACTCAGACCTACTCATACTCAGACTTACTCATACTCAGACATACTCATACACATACTTCCTCATGCACAGACTTACTCATACCCAGACGTACTCATACACAGACTTACTCATACCCAGGCATACTCATACCCAGCCCTACTCATACTCAAACTTACTCAACACACATCAGATTTGGAGGATGTCTCAGGCGGGGCGCTGGTTTCAGCACCCCTAAGGGGAGCCGCCAGGGGTGTTTGCACGGGCTCGTTCGCGGCCATTTTGTGGGGATGTCTCAGGCGGTTTGCTTGTTTCTGGGCTCAACATCCTTCGCTTGGAGAGCAGATTGTGAGGATGTCTCAGGCGGGGCGCTGGTTTCAGCACCCCTAAGGGGAGCCGCCAGGGGTGTTTGCACGGGCTCGTTCGCGGCCATTTTGTGGGGATGTCTGAGGCGGTTTGCTTGTTTCTGGGCTCAACATCCTTCGCTTGGAGAGCAGATTGTGAGGATGTCTCAGGCGGGGCGCTGGTTTCAGCACCCCTAAAGGGAGCCGCCAGGGGTGTTTGCACGGGCTCGTTCGCGGCCATTTTGTAGGGATGTCTCAGGCGGTTTGCTTGTTTCTGGGCCCAACATCCTTCGCTTGGAGAGCAGATTGTGAGGATGTCTCAGGCGGGGCGCTGGTTTCAGCACCCCTAAGGGGAGCCGCCAGGGGTGGTTGCACGGGCTCGTTCGCGGCCATTTTGCGGGGATGTCTCCGGCGGTTTGCTTGTTTCCGGGCCCAACATCCTTCGCTTGGAAAGCAGATTGTGAGGATGTCTCAGCGGGGCGCTGGTTTCAGCACCCCTAAGGGGAGCCGCCAGGGGTGGTTGCACGGGCTCGTTCGCGGCCATTTTGTGGGGATGTCTCAGGCGGTTTGCCTGTTTCTGGGCTCAACATCCTTCGCTTGGAGAGCAGATTGTGAGGATGTCTCAGGCGGGGCGCTGGTTTCAGCACCCCTAAGGGGAGCCGCCAGGGGTGGTTGCACGGGCTCGTTCGCGGCCATTTTGTGGGGATGTCTCAGGCGGTTTGCTTGTTTCTGGGCCAACATCCTTCGCTTGGAGAGCAGATTGTGACGATGTCTCAAGCGGGGCGCTGGTTTCAGCACCCCTAAGGGGAGCCGCCAGGGGTGGTTGCACGGGCACGTTCGCGGCCATATTGTGGGGATGTCTCAGGCGGTTCGCTTGTTTCTGGGCTCAACAGGGAGGGAAATGACAGGAACGAGGATGAGGAGGAGGAACAGGAGGAGGAGGAGGAGCAGGAGCAGGAGAAGGGAGGGGGCGGAGGAACAGGAGGAGGAGGAGGAGCAGGAGGAGGAGGGCGCTTTGCTCGAAGGTCCTTGACGCGAGCAGAACGTTTGTTCCGAAGTCCAGGACATATATATATATATATATATATATATATATCATGTATTCATAGGGGGTGACTGCGAGGGGGGGGGGCGGTGGTTGTGTGCGGGGATCGTTGGAAATGCTCACCGTGGCACTATCCTCCAACATGACATGCACTTATGGCCTTGTGTGGCTAAACGCTCGTCTTACATATCCCACTGCCAACTATCCTACAACATATGCACATGTGGGAAGCTCCAAAGCTACCACGGGCTGAAAAGGGGAAGGCCTGGCAGCTGAGGAGGGGGGATGAAGAGGAAGAGGCTCGCATTCAACCATACTCAAAGCTCACTCTGACTCATACGCAATCGCTCGCATTAGGGGTCACTCGTCTTCGTCGGCCCTGTCGCCCACGTGGACGCGCTATTGTAGTCGACCGCTCATGAACAGACGCTCACCACGGCATGACATAAAACATGAGATGCACATATGGGGAGGTCCACGCAGTGAGTAATTATTTTGTGTTCAAACAAATCTATGTTTGACTACTCCCCCTGTAGAGGGACGGGCCCGACTCAAGCAGACCTGGTCGCCCGCGGCAAAGGCCCCACGGACGCGCAGCACGAACTCGTTGGCGAAGTACTCGTACGAGATGTCGGACGCGGCGCTGCTTTCGTGGTTGTGGTAGTCGATGACCTGGGGCCGAGGACAGGCGACACCAAAACCAGCAGGGCGAGGGGATGCGAGGAGGCAACGGGCGAGCTCCCTGTTTGGTGTGGTCCCCCCCTCTCGCTCGAGGCCTCCCCGGCCTCCAGCTCGGAGAGGCATCGTGGACCTCCTCGCTGGTGGTGGGCCCCCTGGTGGTGTTGTCGGGAGCGGCCAAGAGGGGGGTGTCCAAGATGGGGGGGTGCAAATCATAACCGGCGGCATGTGCGCGGCCCAGCGGGGGGGCCAGGGAGGTAATGAAATAAGAAGAGGCGCCATGAAATCTGGGGAAAAATCACGGTCCCCGCCATGATATCCATCCCCCCCCCTAGTCATCACCCCCCTCTTTTCCGCCCCCGATGTTGGCATCGCCTCTCCTCCCTCCGAATGACCGGGCATATCACGTACCTCTTCAGGTTCGACGACTGCCCCACGAGGAAGTCGGTCAGCGGTATCGCCACGAGGGCGGCGCCAGCGCCGTTCAGCCCGTCCTCCGCAGAGACGAGGCCGGACGCGACGCCCCCCACCAGCAGCGCGGCGACGAGGGCGACCTGGGCCAGCCGCTCCTCCGGCCCGCGGCCTTCGTACGGGCCGCTGAAGGACCGGCTGCGCACCGCCATCACGGCCCAGCGGAAGTCGTCCTCCGCGGGGCAACGAAAGGGGGGGACTTAGGGAATCGAGCTCTATACACCGACGCTTTTTCTGGCCCTGCATTGAAATTTGCACTGGAGAGCGGATCCTGGTGTATACGGGATCCTGGTGTATACAGGTTTCATTGTCTCCCTTGGAAAACGGGGGAGAAGTATACACCACACAACCCCGACGTCGTCCCCGACCCTTAAAAAGCCGTGAAGCCGTGGGGCTGAAACAAAACCCGCCACTGGTAATGTACATGTTCCAGTTTCCGAGGACTGGCACCTGGTCGGCGCGAGCGAGGGGGGGACAACAGGTCGGCGGCGAGCGAGGGGGGGAAGTGAGAAGGGGTGAGCCTTGTCAGAAGGCTCGGAAGTCCCTGGACCCTCTGAGAAGTTTTCTAAGGTTTCCCTGAAGAAAAACCGAACTTCTCAGAAGGCGCGATGGCTTCTGAGAAGTCCCGCCGCCTTCTGAGAAGTCCTTCTTCTTCTCACTTCCCCCCCCTCCTTCGCCGCCGAACAGGAGGGACACATCGATCTGGAATCGGGGATACATCGCCGATGGGTTGGCGATGCTGGGGGGCCCCATGGCGAATCCGCACGCTCCTGGGTGGCGTGCGGCTGTGAAACCCCGCTCGGCGATGAATGGGTGATTGGGGGTCGATGTGTCCCCCCTAACTACGCCTGCCCCCCCCCCCTCCCCAGAGAGAGAGAGAGAGAGAGCGCGCGAAGACGGTCCGAGTGGACCGGATCCAAAAAAGGCAGCGCGGGGGGGCCAGAGCCCTCAGGAGACGAGCGTCTGGAGGTCGACGAGTAGACAGAACGCAGGGACGCCCCCCTCCCCTGGGGAAACCACAAGGCACCGGTACCGCTCCTCCCCGGGCCCCTCCTGGGGTGTGTTCCGACCAAGATTTCGAGGCGAATCCAGCGGCCTCCCAGGAGGCCCAACAAGGGGAGGGGAAAACGAGGGAAGGGTAGCGGTCTCCTTTGCCCCCGATCCTCGGACAGCGGGAACCTGCAGCCGGCGGAGATCAGCGAGTAGGCGCCCGCCACCTCCTCGCGCTGCTCCCGGATGTCGCGCTCGAGCAGCGGGTAGTCCAGCGCCTCCCAGGCAGTGCCACCGGGGAGCCACCAACAGAGGTCTCGCCACCTCCCTCAGGACACGGAGCCGCCTGGAGCCTCCAGAGACACCCCGAGGACACCCCAAGGACCAGCATCCAAGACCTCCCTCCTCCTCGATCCGCGATCCTCGATCCTCCCTCCCTCCTCGATCCTCGCTCCTAGAACCTCCGTCCATGACCTCCTCGATCCTCGATCCTCCCTCTTCCTCGACCCTCGAGTTCCAGGAGGAGCCAGTGACTGCCGTGAGCCTCCCTTGGCACTGCCCGGGCCTCGAGCTCGGCGTCGGTCCAGTTGAGCGGCACCTCTGGGAACTCCTGCGGGAGCGACGCGACCCAGTGCTCCAGTGGCGACGCGCCTTTGCGATGCCTCTCGCGAGTCAGCGGGGGGCAGACGGGGAGGAGGGGGAAAAGAGGACGATAATAGTAGCAAAGAGAAGAAACATAGTAAGGAAAACAATAATAAGAACAAACACGAGGATCAGGAGAAGAAACAACGTGAGGCGGATCAGGAAGTGTAGAAGGAGAAATATCCGAAGGACGAGGGGAAGGAGGCGGACGTGGGGAATGATAGGATGAGGGGGTGTCTCTGAGGAAGACTCGGAGGAGAAAGGGGATGAAGAAACCTTCGTCCCCCGCGTCGTCGTCCTTCTCCTCCTCCTCCTCCTCCTCATTCTCCTACTCCATCTTCTGCTCTATTCATCTTCCTTGCTCCCTCGTGCGTCCCTCTTCTCCGCTCCCTGCTGAAGAGAGGCATAATGAGGAAGAGGAGGATAAGGAGACAGACTAGCAAAAGGAGGAGTTCACTGAGAAAGAAGGGGATACTTATGAGGAGCAGGGAAGCGAGAGAGAGAGAGAGAGAGAGAACGAAAAAGAGAGCGACATGTATACATATATATATATATACTAGAACCATCGCGCGCGCGCTGAGGTTCTAGCAGGCCCCAGGCCTTGACGAATTCACTGCTCCATTGAAGCAGTCGACCACAGTACACGCATGCCAATCTGCATTCCGAAAGCCCCTCGAGGAAATGGTTGTGTAGGGGGGCGGAGGCCGTATGAATCGGGTTCCCAGAAGGCCTTCTGGGAGCATGGGTTTGGGGGCGTCTTGGAAAGCATGGTGGGGCGTGCCGTCGTCGTCGTCGTAAGGTCGTCGTCGCCTATTGGGGCGCGCCGTCGTCGTCGTCGTCGTCGTCGTCGTCGTCGTCGTCGTCGTCGTCGTCGTCGCCTTCGTCGTTTCGTCGTCGTCGTCGGTTCAAGAGGGCACTTGGGGCAACTTTGTGTGAAACGATCTGCGGAGGGCCGCGAGAAGGCGATCAATCATGTTCCCAATCAACTTCCCAGACAGCTCTCCTGTAACATGATGGTACTTCGAAGCCTCCGGAGACTCGCGGGCCCATGATGGACCATGTCCCCGGAAGGCTTCCTGGGGACATGGTTTGTTGGGGTGTGTTGGGGAGTCTCTTGGGCGTTCCCTGGGGGCCCCTTGGGGCCCTCCGGGAACTCTCGGGTCCAGGATGAACCATGTCCACGGGAGGTTTTCTGGTGACATAATTTCTTGGGGTGTTTCGGGGGGCCTCTTGGGCGTTCCCTGCGAGCCCCTTGGGGGTCTCTTGGGGCTTCCTGGGGGCCTCTTGGGCGCCTCACCGGGCTTCGTGGGAGCCTCTTGGTGGCCTCTGGGGGCCTACAGGCGGCATCTAGGGCCAGAGACCTCGAAATATCATCGGTTGGCGGTCCCCCTCTGGACCCTCTCTTGGGAGCACTTGGGGCACAGTTGGGTTGTCTGGGAAAGCGGGGAAAGCGAGAACGCCTAAATCCTTCAAACACCATCATAAAATTAGTGAATCTTGGCTCCCAGGGCCCTTTTGGGGAGCCTCTTGAGTCTGTCCTGGAGCGTGTTGGAGTCCTCGTCGGTTGTCTTGAGGGCATCTTGGGCGTCCTCGGAGCCTCGTGGGACCGTCTAGGGCCCTCTCGGGACCTCCATTAGCCTGTCGTGGCCTGCTTCGGGGCGGGCCCGGGCCGCCTCGGGACCCCTCTTGGCCTTCTCTTGACACGCTCTTGGGGCACACTTGGGTTGTCTGGGAACCGATCCAGGGCCGTCTTGGGGCCCTCGTCGGGGCCTCGTGGGCCTTCTCGGAGCGATCTGAAGGGTCTCCGAGGCCGTGAAGGGAGCGCTGGAAAGCGGGAAAAGCGAGAACGCCCAAATCCAACACACTCGGAAAACGAGTGAATCTTGCCTTCCAGGGCCCTCTTGGGAAGCCTCTTGAGTCCGTCCTGGAGCGTGTTGGTGTCCTCGTCGGCTGTCTTGCATCTTGGGCGTCTTCGGGGCCTCGTGGGACCGTCTTAGGCCCTCTCGGGACCGCCTTAGCCTGTCATGGCCTGCTTCGGGGCGGGCTCGGGCCGCCTCGGGAGCTCGGGACCACCCCCGCAACCCCCGGTGGGCACTGATGGGGGGAACAGGCAGCGGCCCGCCCCCCCCCACCCAAGGCCTACTCCGAGATAGAGAGTTATGTTCCCGGGAAGCTTTCCGGGAGCATGATTTGTTCGGCTCTCTAAGAGGGGGGCCTCTGGGGGCTTACCGAGGGGCGCATTTTGGCCTTGTCGGCAAGCCTATTGGAAACATGGTTGGGGCAGTGGGCGGAAGCCCAAGGAATCATGTTCCCGGAAAGCTATCTTGGAAGTGCGATTTACCGAAGTGTCTTGGGGGCCCGCAGGGGGCTTCCCTGGGGGTCCCTTGGGGGCCTATTGGGGCTTCCGGGGGGCCTCTTGGGAGCCTCACGGGGCTTCTTGGGAGCCTCTTGATGGCCTCTGGGGGCGTCCTAGGAGCCTCTGAGGCCGGAGACCTTGAATGTCGCGCTCTTCGGGCCCTTTGGGTCGCTCTTGGGGCTCTCTTGGGGCGCTCTCGAGGCCCTCTTGACGTATTTGGGGAGCCTCCTGTGCCGTCTCTGGGCTCTCTTGGGAGCCTCTTCGGCCGTCTTGGAGCGATCTGAAGGGCCTCTGACGCGGTCCCGGACCGTGGGGAGGCGGAACATGGGAGAGCGCAATAATGCCTCAAAAACCATTGGAAAATCAAAACAAATCGGCTTCTGGGTCCTTTGGAGGGGCCTCTGGAGGCGCTCTTGGGGCGTTTTGGCGGCGCCGTCGGTCGTCCTGAGGCCATCTTCGGCGTGTCTGGGGCCTCTGGGAGCTGCCTTTGGGCGTCCTTGGAACCCAGAATCTGTCCCGGAAAAGCTTCCTGGAACATGATTTCGAACGAGGCCCTCTTGGGCCTCCCTGAGGCCGTCTTGGGGGCCTCGTGGGCTGGTTTCGGGGCCTCTTGGGCCGTCTTGGGGGGGTCCGTGAGCCGCACAGGACAACCGTTTCGGGCCGTCTTGGGCCCTCTTGGGACTCCCTTGGGCTGTGTTGGGGCTCCTCGGGGGCGTCTGGGGCACTGCGAAGGCGAAGCAAGGGAGCATGCTGAAAATGCACGTTTTACTGGAACGGGCTGATTATTGCCTCTTGAAGGCCCTCTTGGGGCCCTCTTCGGCCATCTTGAAGCCATCTCGGGCCCTCTTGGGCCTCGATGAGGCTGTCTTGTGGGCCTCTAGGGCGCCCGGAACCCAGAAATCATCATGATCATGTTCCCGGAGATGCTTCCAAGAACATGATTTCGAACTGGGCCCTCTTTGGCCTCCCTGAGGCCGTCTTGGGTTCCTCCTGGACCGGCTTCGGGGCTTCTTGGGCCGTGTTGGGGGTTCCGTGAGCCCCACAGGACGACCCTTTCGGGCCGGCTTGGGCCCTCTTGGGTCTTTCTTAGGCTGCGTTGGGGCTCCTCGGGGGCGTCTGGGGCACTGTGAAGACGAAGCCGATTTTTGCCTCTTGAAGGCCCTCTTGTCGTCCTCTTCGGCCATCTTCAAGCCATCTCTGGCCCTCTTGGGCCTCGCTGAGGCTGTCTTGTGGGCCTCTTCGGCGTCCTCGGAACCCAGAAAGCATGTTCCCGGAGAGGCTTCCGGGAACATGAATTCGAACGAGGCCCTCTTGGGCCTCCCTGAGGCCGTCTTGGGGGCCTCCTGGGCTGGCTTCGGCGCCTATTGGGCCGTCTTGGGGGGTTCCGTGAGCCCCACAGGCCGACCGTTTTGGGCCGTCTGGGGCCCTCTTGGATCTCCCTTGGGCTGTGTTGGGGCTCCTCGGGGGCGTTTGGGGCACTGTGAAGACGAAACCAGCGAGTATGCTAAAAATGTACGTTTTACGAAGGGAATGGGCCGATTTGTGCCTCTTGAAGGCTCTCTTGGGGCCCTCGTCAGCCATCTTGAAACCATCTCGGGCCCTCTTGGGGCGCTCTTGGGCGTCTTCGGGGCCTCTTGAGGCTTTCTTGACTATCTGTACGGCCAGCGTGGCCTGTCGTGGGCAATTTGGAAGCGGCCCGGTGCAGTCCCCAGGGGTCTGTGACCCCTCAAAGGTTCCGGGGTGCGCCCATGGGGGATAATGGCATCGGCCCGGCCCCCCCCGGCCTACTCATACATATATATATATATATAGAAATATAGAAAGAGAGAGAGAGAGAGAGAGAGAGAAAGAAAAGAGAGAGAGAGAGAGAGGAAAACATTGAAAACAAACAATAACCATAACAAACAGCAAGAGAGGGATAGCGAGAGACACCTAGAGACATAGCTACACATCATACCGATATGCATAGGAACCATAAGCAAAGGTGGTGGAGGAGGAGGGGGAAGAGAAGAGAAGGACTCTGAGGAATAGGAGGAAGAGGAGGCGGAGGAGGAGGAGGAGGAGGAGGAGGAGAAGGATGAGGATGAGGATGAGGATGAGGATGAGGATGAGGATGAGGATGAGGAGGAGGAGGAGGAGGAGGAGGAGGAGGAGGAGGAGGAGGAGGAGGATGGGCTGCCTCTCGTAGGCTAGGAGTACGGCGAGCTGTGCCCACCAGGGCACCGCGGCCCAGGCGGCTGGGGCAACCTGGTCGCCGATCGGGCACTCGCCGCCAGTCGTGACCTGAAGGCGGGAAAACGGGGGTGGAGAGACAGAAAAACACGAGGCAGAGGACGAGAATGAGGAGGAGGAGGAGGAGGGGAAGGAGAAAGGAGGAAGAGCAGGAGCAGCACAACGATGACGGTGGTAATGGAACCGACGGCACACAAGAGGACGAGGAGCAGGATGGGCAAGAGGAGGCGGACATTGGGAGCCAGCCGCCGAGAGGGGGGCACCCGCCCCGAAGCCCCCCTGCCGCGACCTGCAGGGCGTTCTTCGCGGGCACCTGCGGGAGCGCGAATACGGCTCCACCCGGGTCCCAAGGGGAGGGCTCACACGAGGAGGCGGCGGGGGAGGAAGTCGACGACGACGACGACGACGACGACGACGACGACGACGACGACGACGACGACGACGACGACGACGACGACGATAAGGATAAGTTGTTTAAGTGAAGCTTCGGGTTGCGCACGGACTGGCCCCCCAGGCATTCCTGGCTGGCGCCGCCTTTGGCGGCGTCCCTGGGGCGCTCTGCGCACCAAGGATGAGGTGTTGACACCGCCCCGGAATGTTCGGGGGGGGGCCTGTTGAGGCCAGCTCGGACTGCTCGGGGGGCCTGTTTTGGCGTCTCGTCCTCCCCCCCCGCCACAGAAGGAAACTCCTGGAGGAAGGAGGCGAAGGCCCCCTGTCCCTCGCGGATCCCTGGTGCACGGGCGGCACGAGATTTGGAAATGGAAGGGGGAAAGATGAGGCGGAGGAGGAAGAGAAGGGCTTGGGTGTGTTCCCCGATGCATGCCCGTCTGATGCCGAATTCCAGGAGGCAGCAGCGGCGGGAGGCTCTCTGGAGGCCCGCCGAGCTACGAGCGAGGGACCCAGGCAGGGTGGAGAAACTGCTTGTCGAATCGTGACTTATCGGGGGGCCCGCGTTTCAGGTTGCATTGGAGAGCGGCGGCGGCGGTGCGATTTGGTGGCGCGCACTAGGGGGTAGGGGGAGGGGGATGGCTTCGCAGAGAGAGGCTACATCTACAGAGCGGGCACGCGCCTACTAAGAAACGGCATTGGTTCTAGGAGGAATGCTTCCCCCCTTCCCCCCTCCCCCATGCCACCTTTGCGCGTGACCGAGTGTTGAAGCATGCCAGGATTATCCGGCTGTCTGTTCGCAACCCGAAGCCTTACCACGTCGATCTGTTGTTGGCTTCCCCCACCTTGTGTTATCACGCCTCGGCCGGCACCGAAACACCCCTCGCTCTGCCACAAAGGGCGTGGGACGCCGCCTGGAAACAAGCAAAGTAATGAGGGAGAAAGGCGGCAAAAGGAAAAAGTGGACAGCGCGGTCGCCAAATCTCGCGCCCACGCGCACAGGCAATATACGCACAGCGTGCGCCCCAAGGAACAATTATTCAACGCGTGGTCCCCAAATGCGCCTCTATTAGCACGGGCCTTCCCGCCGGTGGTGTCTCGGCGCAAGAGACTTACTATATAAACGGGCTTGAATATTGAGAAATTGAGAGCGCATATAACTGCAATGGTTTTGGGTGTGGGTGAGCCCCAGTAGTGCGATTGACTCTGCGTGCGTGAGTCTGAAATGGGCTGCGCTCGGGGTGAATGTCTCTGCGCGTCAGGTGCGCGAGCATAACTGAGCATGGCTGAATCGAAGCGGCTACGCGCCCCCCCCCCTTCCATGCTGACGCAGGGAACAAGGGTTGCTCATGAAGACGCCGCGCGGTGCCCTCGCACTTCGCTGGCTGGCCCCCCCAAAAAAACCTAACGCAGTGGCTCGCGCAAACATCTCACGCAACGCGCCACGCGGAAGAGAGAGCGCACGCGCGCGGCTTCACGCTGGAAGCTCGCGCGCCAGCGCCCCCGCTGGGGGGGTGAACTGCGGCGCCCCAAGCAAGAGCACATGACGCGATGGGGGGGCGCGCGGCTCATTTCTCGAGCGGCCAGAGCAAGCCGCGCTCGCAACCAGAACGGAGAGCGTCGTCGGGAGACGCCGTCGGCCCAGACCGTCCGCGCTCGGCATCCGGCCGAAGAGTCAGGCGACAATCTGCACTTTGGCATCGAGCAGCGCGCGGCGTGGCGCGCGGAGAACTGGAAAACTAGGTCGTCGAGACTTGGCTTCGGGCTAGAAATCCGGCCATGATCGCGCAGTTGCAATAAAACTTGGCTGGGCGGCTCATTTGAACCAGCTCCTGCAATACCGTCCGCACTTGGCATAGGGCCACAGATGGCTAAATCGGCTACTCCTCTTCTGGCAGCGCCATCCCGCATTCCTCGGCAAGCGGAACGGATCTCTCCACCGTTAGGAACTCCTTCTTCTCGAAGCGTTCGAGAACGTCCTGCGCCGACTCTGGCGGACCTCTTTCCCGCAACCGGCGAGAGAGCGGACGGGGAAGCAGCATGTCCGCCATCTGGATGGCGCGGAAGATCATCACATAAAGAAGTTCAGACACCATGCGTCGTCGTCTTGCTCCATCTCGTCCGCCCCTGCGCACCGTCTTCGTCAGGCAGGGGGCGCGCGAGAGCATACAGCCGAATCTCTTCACGCTGTGCTCCACGGACGACGCCTCCCAGGTGAAGGTGGCCTCCATCAGAGGCATGCAGAACAGGCCACGAGCATTATTTTCCTTCGCAGCCTTCTCTTCGTTGTCTACGCAGTCCATGAACCCCTGCCACGTTGGAGCCTGCCTGAAGTCGCCGACCTGCAGCCACATACCAATCGGGGACCGGCGCGGACTGAAGATCTCGCACAGGAGCGTGTTGTTCTAGTTTTTATCTCGTCGTCCGTGTCGAATACGAAATCAAGAATGGTGGCCCGCTCCTCCCCCCCCTTCCTCCTCATCCTCCACCGCCTGCCCAGCGCCTCAAAAGTCCCGAAGACTCCGTGTGCCTGGACCGCCCCGGTCGCCGCCCGCTCTGAAAGCAGACGAGTCTGACCTCCGAAACAAGCAAACCGCGCGAGACATCCTCGCAATCGTGGCCCCCTGGGGGCGCGAAAGCGGTGCGGAAACCGCCGCCTCGCCAGGAACATCTTCCAAATCTGCTCCGAAAGCGAAGGATGTTGGGTCAAGAAACAGGAGAACCACTGGAGACATCAACACAATCTGGGCGCTAACGGAAGAATGAGATGCGCGGCTCCCCCTTGGGAGTGCTGCAACCAACGCCTCGCCCGAGACAACCTCACAATCAGCTCTGGAAGCGCACGATTCCGACCACCGAAACAAGCAAACCGCTCGAGACAGCCTCGAAGTCTGGGGGCCCTTGGGTGCGAAAACCATCGCCTCTCCCGAGACCTCCTCCGAATCTGTTCCGACAAAAAGGGATGTTGGGTCAGGAAACAGGCGAACCCCCACGAATGCGAACGATGTCCTTCACGTCGGGTTCGCCCGCCAACGCGATGATGCATGATCCACTCCGCCGAGACGTTCTCGTCGCCAACCGGCTGAAACACCTCGTGGCATGCAGCCGGTCCCCCTCCTCCGTTCCAGCTTCGCGCCGACGAGCTTCCAACTGGACCTCCTGCGGCTCCTGAGCCACCCGCCAGTGGATCACCGACGGCTTCCTCTCGCCCGACGGCAGAAGAACTGCGGACAAGGGCCCTCGGAGGCCCGCTCCTCTCGGAAGGCCCTCGGAGCGACCGCTCCTCCTCGCGAGCAAGCTTCTCCGTGGCCTCTGGCGCCGTCGCGCGCGCGCCTGCGCGAGGGCCTGCTGCACCTCGGAGGGGCCCTCTGGGGCCCGCGGCCCCCGGAGCGGCCGTCCGGGAGCCTGCGCGGGGACCTGCGCTGCATGCCGGACCCGTCCGCCGCACGAGCACTGAGCCCGCGCTGCGAGGCCACGCGCGCCTCGCCCCTGCGTGCTGCAGCAGGAGCTCGGGCCGTCGCCAGCACCGGCTCGACGTGGCCATGCCTCTATGCCCCTCCTCGGCCTCTCTCTCTCTCTCTCTCTCTTTCTCTCCCTCTCTCTCCCTCTCGCCCTCGCAGGACCCAACCCACGTCACGACCGGACCCGCGACCCGCGCGTCTCACCTTCGAGCTGCAGCAGGAGTCTGGGCCGGCGCCAGCACCAGCTCGCCGTGGCCATGCCTCTGTGCCCCTGCTCCGCTTGAACTTCGCTCTCGCCTTCACTCCAAGCCCGCTTCGCCCGGGCCTGGAGTTCCGGCGCGAGCGCTGCGGTGGTGAGGTGGCGGTGCGCTCGGAGTGCACGGGCGCATGCCAGATAATGATCTGCGAAACGAACGAGCTGCAGGCGGTGCCAGCGATGAAGACGCGATGCCGCGATATCGTTGCCTCCTCGTCCTCGTCCTCGTCGTCGTCCTGCTCCTCCTTCTCCTGCTTCTCCTCCTCCTGCTTTTCCCCATGTCTTTTCTTCTCCTCCTCCTCCTCCTCCTCCTCCTCCTCCTCCTCCTGTTTCTGCTGCTGCTCCACTTGCCCCTGCCCCTCCTTCTGTCCTGTTCCTCCCGTTTCTCGTTCGTTCTCCTCCTCATTTTTCTTGTTCGTCCTCCTCCATTCACATTCCCTGTCTTCCTCCTCCGCGCCCCGTGGCGAACGGCGACGTCTTCTCCCCCAAAGCCCACCTGCACCAGCGGCTCGTCGCTCGCCAGCTGCCCCAGCGCGACCATGCCCCGCAGGTCAGACCCGAACGTGCTGAGGTCCACCTCTAGAGAGGAGGGGGGACGGAGGGAGGAAGAGGAAGAGCAGAAGGAGGAGGAGGAGGAGGAGGAGGAGGAGGAGGAGGAGGAGGAGGAGGACGAGGAGGGGGGGGGGAGAGAGGAGGGCAAGCCAGGTGCCCTCGCGCAATGGCTGACATCCTACGTGAAGGAATGGGGGGGAGGAGAGATAGGAGGGGGATACGACGAGAACGGCGTCCTGGAACGCAATCTGAAATGTCCCCTCGCGCGACCCGTGGCTAGGCGAATAAAAACATGTACTGACTGGAAGCCTGAGCCGGGTGACTGCTACGACTGCTACGGTGGAGAAGGCTGGGCGGAGATCGGAAAGATAAAGTAACGAAGATGCGGAGGATGCAGGGTGGGAAAAGGAATGGAGAACAAGAGGGGATGATGATGCTGGTGATGACGATGTTGATGATGAGGATCGCACGTAGCTTGCGCGCCACGTGTCTTTGTCTACCGCCGACCGCCGACAGAAGCGGCGGCAGCAACAATCCTCAGAGGAGGTAGCTACGGATGTCGCGTTCGCCTTCTGAAGCGATCCCACCAGAATCAGATGCTCCGCAATCGAATATACAGAAGTAGTCGTTGAAGGCGCCGCAGGTGGGAGCGAGGGAGAGCTGTTGAAGTGACCGCCGTTGCGGCCGTCGTAGTTGTCGAGGGTCGGCTCGTGACCCTGCAACTGCAGGACGCGCTGCTCGATGGAGTCGATATGTTGCTGGATCTCGTCGGTCTCGGCTTCGAAGTCCTGCATCCGCTGGTCGAGCATGTCCATGAAATCGCCGCGCATGTTGTTGATCTTCAGCTGAAACTCATTGGTGTACGACTCCGTGGAGGGGTGCGCCTGCTTGGCGGAGGTCGCGAGCTCGGCGCGCATGTCGTTGATATCCACGGCCACCTGGGTCTCGATGGTCTCCAGGATGGGCAAGACGCCATCGAGCTTGCCAATCTCTCGCGAGGACTGCTTGATGAAAGAAGCAATCTCGGCGCGCATATCGTTGAGGTCCGTGGCGACCTTCGCAAGGATGGGCTGGACCGCATTGATGAGGAGGGAAGGCAGCTGCTTGGTGTAGGAGTCCGACATCAGCGAAGCCCACTTGCAACTTGGAGTCAATTTGGTCCACGATCCGCCGCTCGAGGGGCGGGGTGAGACTGCCGAAAGCGGGCAGGCTGGGCGTCGCGCTGGGGGGGGAAGGCAAGGTTTGAGCCAGAACGGCTGGATGACTCAGCACGCCTCGAACGGGTTCCCGGCTCTATGGAGTCGACTTGGTACTCGGTGTCATCTCGCTCGGAGGTGTTCACGTCGAGGTGGCCGGCCACCACGCCTTGCGAGCCTGTTTCTTGTCGGACTGTAGCAAATTCTTGTGCCGCGCGATGTTGCCAGTTTTGTTCCACTGCAAGAACTCATCTGCGACGGACTGCGTGACGAGGCCATGGGAGAGGATCGTGCTATGCAGGCCGAGACCCTCCCTGCGGTGCACACACACGTCGCGAGCTCGATGTGGCGCGTGCGAGCCGTCAATTCGACGAGGACCTCGGCTTCGGATGTGATCGCGGCGGGCACGGCGATGAGCTGGTGGCCGCACGGCTTGCTCTGGATGTTCCCCCACGCTCGTGCACGATCAGCTCGCCGCTTGAACGCGTCGAGGGAGCGAGCGCCGCGTGTGCGAATCATAGGCTCGTTCAGAACGACGGCCGAGACAGGGGTGAGGAAGGGCACCGCGATTGCGATGGTGAGTGCTGCCAGGACAGCGCGCTGCCTGAAGGTATGGCCTCCGCGCATGAAGAGTCGCCGCTCGGGTCCCACGCGCGCGGGGCGAGGGGGATGGTACTTGAGCCAGTACGGCTACGGATGATGATGATGATGATGATGCTGATGATGATGATGATGATGATGATGATGATGGTGATGATGATGATGGTGGTGGTGCTGATGATGATGCTGATGATGATGATGATGATGATGATGATTATGAGGATGATGATGGTCATGACGATGGTGATGATGAGGATGAGGATGGCCATGACGATGGTGATGGTGATGACGATGATGGTGATGATGGTGATGATGATGATGAGGAGGAGGAGGAGGAGGAGGAGCAAGAGGAGGAGGAGGAGGAGGAGGAGGAGGAGGAGGAGGAGGAGGAGGAGGAGGAGGAGGAGGAGGAGCGGAGAGGCAGAGAAAAAGAAACGGACGAGAAAGAGATGTCGCCGCGCCGTTTGTTCTCGACGCGCCCAATTGTCATCGCAAGCCCTGCGCGCCGCGCCCAAGTAGACGACGCCGGCACCGCGGCAAACCCGCAACAAACTGGCAAGCCGTGCGCCCGAGGCTGTTTTGGCCGGGCTGCGGGCGCCGCGGGGCGGCGCATGCACCCGGGCTGCCATGCCGTCTCGTGGCAACCGGGCGGGCAGACGTGCACCTGGCTGTGCGTCCCAGTGCCCTGCGTCTCCGCGGGCTGGGGCTGGCGGGTCCACGCTACCCCAGTCGCGCCGGGAGCGTGTGGGGGCGTGCCCGTGGCACCCGGCACCTGGGCCGCAGGCGGCAGCTCCGAGGGCCCCCTCGGCAGCGCCGATGCGGACTCCGTGGGTGCGGGTGCGGGCCCCGCAGAGGGCACCCTCGCCGCCCCCTCCGGCGAAGGCCCGGCCGGGCTCGAGGCCGGCTCCCGCGGGGGCGCCGGCGACGGCGCCGAGGGCGACGCTGCGGCCGGCCCCGGTGACCCCCCCCCCGGCGGGAGGCGGCGCTCCTGCGCGGGAGGGAGGCGCCGACGACGGCGCCCCCTGGGCCCGGCCGCGCCGCGGCGCCCGCGCGCGCCCGCAGCCCGCGGGCTGGGCAGGGGCCGGCGACGCAGGCTACTGGGCGCCGCTTGCGCCGGCGCAGGGCACGCTCGAGCAGAGCCCCAGCGCCCGGGAGCCGCGGCGCCGGCGCAGGCGCCCGCACCGGGAGCGCAGCCCGAGCGAGCGGGCCACCCGCCGGCGCCGCACCCGCCGGAGCAGCCGCACGCGCGGCCGCTCCCCAGCCCCCCAGGGCAGGGCGGACACACCGGAGCCCGCCGAGGCAGCGGCCACGAGCTGCCCCGCGGCGGGCGCCGAGCGGCGAGCGAGCCCCCCGGGCCGGCGACCCCGCGGCGGCGGCTCCAGCAGCTCCCCCGCACGGGCGGCCGGCCGGAGCCGCGAGCAGGAGCTCCCCGCGGACGGGGCGCTTCTCGCAGGGCCGGGCGCGGCGGCGGCGGCGGTGGCTGCCCCGGCCAGCCGCGGCAGCAGCTACAGCGACGCCACGAGCGGCTCCGGGAGCGGCTCCCCGGGGGCGGCGGCGCGGACTCCCGCGACGGCTCCGCCCACGGCGGCAGCGCTGGGAGCAGGGGCTCCGACGGCAGCTCCGCCCACGGCGGCAGCGCCAGGAGCAGGGGCCCCGACGGCGGCTCCGACTGCGGCGGCAGCGCCGGGAGCTGGGGCTCCACCGGCAGCTCCGCAGGCAGCGGCAGCGCCAGGAGCAGGGTCCGGCGGCGGCGCGGCCGCCGCGGCGGCCGGCGACGCGGGCAGCGCGCCGCGGGCGAAGGGCCCGAGGGACCCGCAGGCAGCGCCCCCCGCGGAGGCGGTGGCGGCGGCGCTCAGGGCGAGCGGCTGGGGCTTCGCGGCCGAGGGGGTCGCGGCTGGCGTCCTAGCCGAGGCGGTGGCTGCCGGCCTTCTCCGACGGGAGGGCCGCCGGCGCTCCCGCTAGACGCAGGCGAGCACCCCATCGAGCGCGAGTACGACGGGCTCGACTGGGCGCAGCTCGCAGGCCAGCCGGGCGAGGCTGGCGCTTCAGGCTCCCCTGCCCCGGCTGAGCAGGGGCGCGCCGCGGCTGCCGCCGTCGCCACCCCGCCGCGGGCGCGGGGCCAGGCGGCCCCCGCCGCGGAAGCTCCGACGGCGGCTCCGCCTGCGGCGGCGGCAGCGCCGGGAGCGGGTGCTCCGACGGCAGCTCCGCCTGCGGCGGCAGCGCCGCGAGCGGGGGCTCCAACGGCCGCTCCGCCCGCGGCGGCAGCGCCTGGAGCTGGGGTTCCACCGGCGGCCCCGCTGGCCTCGGGGGCGGCCGCGCCGGGAGCGGAGCCGGCGAAGCGGCGGCTCTGGGCTGACCTGGCGGCGGAGGAGGCCGCCGGGCTCTACGCCCCGCCGGCGACGACCCTGCCCGCGGGGGACACGCGGGCGGGCGGCGCGGTCGCCGGAGCCGCCACAGGCGCCGCGGCGGCGGCGCGCGCGGAGGCGGCGGCCCGCGCTGCGGCGGCCGCTCAGGCGGAGGCCCGGGCCGCGGCCGCGGACGCGGCCGCCGCGGAGGCCGCGGAGGCGCTGCGCGAGGAGGTGTGCGACCTCCTCCAGCGCGGCAGGACGCCGGTCCGGGCCGCCGCACGCCACCTCGGCCTGCCCGAGGGCCGGCGTCTGCCTGCGGCCCGCGGCCGGGTGTCGCGGCAGGTGGCGCGCCTGGCCGCGCCGCAGCTCCTCGAGCTCGCCGAGCTCCTGGGCGCCGCGGCCCAGCCGCGGGGGCGCGGCGCCGGGCTGCGCAAAGCCGCAGCCCGGCTGAGGCGGGGGCCCGCCGGTCCGTGCGCGGGCGGGCGCGCCTCCTTCTGCGTTTGCTGCTGCTTCTGCTGCTGCTTCCTCCCTTCCTCTCCCCCCTCCCCCTTCTGCTCTCCTCTTCCTCCTTTGCCGCGGGGCGACCTCTCGAGCTAGTAAAAAAAAAAGTGCGCCCGAGGCGGCGTAGGCTCTGGTGGCCGAGGCGCCCTACCCAAGACGGAAGGCCGCGCTTCAGAACAGGCGGCGCGGCGACAGATGAGGATGAGGGGACGAGGGAAAAGAGGAGAGGATGGAGGATGAGCAGGACGAGCGTGCCAACTCGGAGCCAAACGTGCCGAGGTCCACCTCTTGACAGGCCGAGGTGCTGGATGGGGGGGGGAGGGGGAATAAGCGAGGGAGGAGGACGAAGAAGAGGAGGTGGACAAACAAGGGAGCGTCGGACACAGGTTTAGGTGCGGGATGGAGGCAGGGCCGAGCGGCGTTCAGTGTCGGACAGGTTGCGCATGCTGCTGGGAAGCGGTCCCTCTCCTCGCCGACTTCCCTTCCCCCCCCCCCCCCCTCCCTGCCTCAAGGGCCCCTCCCCCTCCTCCTCTTCACCTCCTCCTTTTCCTCTTCTCTCCTCCTCCTCCTGTCCTTCTCCTTCTGCGGCCCACTCTCCTCCTGCGCTCCCTTGTCGTCATTCGGTTTTTACTCTCCTCCTTGTCCCCCTGCGGTCCACTCTCCTCCTGCGGTCCAATTATCCTCCCGAGGTCCTCCTCAATCTGGTCTCCCTCTGCGGGCCACCATCCTTCCTCTCTCCCCCCCCCCCCCCTCATTATTATCTTCCTCCCCCACCGCGTTCTTCTTCTTCTTCTTCTTCCTCATCCTCCTCCTCCGTGGCCTCCTCCTCCTCCTCCTCCTCCTCCTCATCCTCCCATCCTGTTTCTCGGCTTCGTCCTCCTCCTGGTCACGTTCTCAATGTATGCCGCGCTATCGAACATGAAACTTCTGTGCGCCCTTGGCGGAGCCAGTTACTGCTTGATAGATCAGTTTGTGCTGCACGGCTCGCAGTGCCAGAGGCCTGCTCGGAGGCCAATATCTCCTTCTTGGTGATGCGGAGGTTCGGAAGACAGTGCTCGGTATATCTATACCGGCGCTCAAGAAGATGCAAGGACTACCGAGAGACTTGACTTGTATTTCCTGGGAGGACGTGCCGTAGGATGAGGACACAAGAGTCAATTGCCATGATGACGTGGAGACGGGGATGCAAGACATGGGAGGAGGTACGCAGGTGGAATAAAAAGGAGGAGGAGTACGAGGAGGAGGAGGATGAGGAGGGGGGGAAGCGAACAAAGGGACGCCGCCCAGCCTCTTCCAATGCCAGAGGCAGTCTATCAAGCTTCATACGTGTACAAGATCAATGAATGTGGACCTGGTTTCGATACCAAACGCCAGCTGCCTTTGCATCATTCAAACTTTCAGGCGCAAGGGCACGGGAAACATGCATTTTGAAAGTGACCACGATTTCTAACAAGTGCAGCCGGTGTGGAAAAAAAATCGCACCACGCAAACAAAACTGCGTCTGAACATCCTGACACGAGTATTTGCAAGGGGGAAATGTCCAAAGAGTAGGGGGTCGGTCACTGTTCACATTCCCACGTTGTGGACCCTCCGTGTCAATGCGAAGTGCGTGACAT